CGGAAGAGGATTTTCTTCTCAAGGGATTGTAAAAAGAGTATATTTACAATCTTCGTCCTTACTTGTACGTTACCTCAGCTATTTTTCATAAAAATTCGAGATTTTAGACTTTTAGATTTATTACTAAGATTTTTAAGATCATTACTTTTTAAAGGTTTCAGTACTAATTTATGAGGTTATCAATTTTGAAGAGAAAAAAATTATTAAATGTTTATTCATAATTAATTATCCAAAAGGTAAATTCTATTCATAAGTCTAATAAATATTATATGCGTTATGTACAGGAATATATTTTAATCGAATATAAGCGATGTGAATGTCTTTATACGTACCACTTTATAATAATTACGAATTATCATAATCAATTTCCTTATTTTAACAAGATATTTGTGATAACTTCCATTGCTCCTATTCTTATTCCATTTCATTGACTAATTTTTATAAATAACTATTTCTCACTCTAAAAAAATAAAGCAAACAAAACAACAACAATAAAGATAGTTTGAAATAAATAAATGTTTCATATTGCATTTATTTTGTTAATAATTACATGTTTACGTTTTATGCTTGTATGATTTTTAATATTAAACGTTTAAAATTGACATATAAAAAAAAATACATTTCATTTTTATTTTAATTTTTAATTACTCAGATATATACCTTTTAATGCTGAATGCGCGATATTTTCATCGTTAGTTTATAATTTAACTAATTTAGATTTCAAAAATAGTTTAGCAGTGAATAAATTCAGTCAGTAGAAAATATGTGTAAACATAAAAATGTTAATCATTCGAAATTTCCAATAAATTAATTTTATTTCCCCCTAATTAAGTACATATATTCTAATTAATTTATAATTCTTAATTTGCAGTTTACTACAATACGACATTTTAACAATAATTAAAATATCGTCATTGGCAATCTTTTATTATAAACACTACTCTTTACATACATTAATAATAAAATATGTCCCGTAAATTATAGTTTTTATAACTTTTAATTTTGTATATATAAATAAAACTATGTTGTTGACAAATTAATATCTTGCCGTTTTAAATTTAAATATCCAAGTTTCACACAATTTCTTACTACATGATTCCTCGTATTTGATTGAATTATGAAAATACAAGACCTTTTACCATCAACCTCATTTCCTATCACCCCTTATGCTGTATATACATATTTTTCTTATCATATTATTTATTGTTAATTATTTTAATTACTGTTTGATGATTTCACTGTAGCTATAAAGCAAGAAATTGTACGGAAGAATTTGTCCAAAAATTTCGCTATTTCAAATATTATCAATCCATCAATAAAATAGCAGATTTCTTATAATTCTCTTTAATTGTTGTATGCTGTGATTTCGTCCATCGAACGGTTATGCTTTTTTTTCACACGTAAAAAATAAATAATAAAGATGTACGGTGGATCGATAAAAACTGTTAGTTAGATCGAGAAATAGTGTGCGGCACTAGCAATAAAACGACTCTAATTCGTATATGAATAGATACACTATATAGAGCGCATTAACACTCTAACAATATAAAAACACCTAAACTTGAAAATTGTGCACAAAAATAATGTAACGCAGGATAAATGATAAAAGAATTTCTGTTTACAGATGGGAAGTGCCTGGCGTGTACGTACCGCTCGAAATTCGCGGAAATCTCGGTGGGCATAAGTCACAACATCGACGACCTCCTCGTGGGCATCCTGAGTCAAATTCGACTGAAGGTGAACCAGGGCCAGGCGGGTGGAAGTGGTGGCTCGGCCATGGACTCGGACCACTGGTATAAATCTCGGGGCGTTGTCAGGGCGAGCATGAAAGCGCGTCAGATGCTTACCTGGCTGTTCGGCAAAGAGGACCGCAAGTTTAAGAACTGCGAGAACCTCCACGTACTGTAATTCTGAACCTCCAGCCTTTTATTTTTATATCATAACATCCTCAGCTTGAGCACCTTTTTCTATAAGTCCGCTGTCTGTCCCCGAAGGGCGTATTAGTTTTTTGGGCGAGCAGCATGTCCGAGTGAGGGCCGTAGTTCCTAATGAAATTCTGCGCTATTTATTGAGAAAGTGCTGTCGCGAACTGAGTTTGGATCGATTAAATTAGTTGTTATCAACGCCGGGCGCTGGAAATACAAGAATAAATTAAATTCCAACTTCGTTGTGATTTATTGTTAGTATCGTTTAAAAGAGATAAAGCAAAGCTCTGATCAGGCTTGAAAGGGACTTTTAAAGTAACCTGAGTGAATGGAGAACTGACGATTAGATTATAATTGAATTTCCATGAAATTAACTGCCGTGCTATTAAATAATCAAAGATTCTCATTGTATATTTTAATAATGAATTTTATTACGAATTTCATTTAAAATAAAATTACAATGCTCATAAATGTATATAAGAATATTTTTCAGATTTTAAAAAATAAAACAATGCTTAAATTTTACAGCGTATATTGACAGTATTACTACTGTCGTGACAATTACTCTTCTTTATTATAAAATTGAAGAAAATCAATTATTCAATGATCAAACCTTGAGTCGCGCATTGTAATATTTGGTACGGAATTCTAAGGAGAATTGAAGATTTCTACGTTAATATTTATTTTTAAAATATGGCTGTATAAAATATAGTCATAATTTAAAAATCCACGTTCTAAACAAAAGTTAGACATATTTAAAAACGATTAAAATATAAAATTATGGATATTTATCAAAAATCAAAAATAGGCTTAAAAATTATAATTAATTCTATAAATTTGATAATAATAAAAAATATTTAAGATCGAATAAACCTTTAAGTAAACCTCTTTTATGTTTACAATGAAACTAACCTATTTATATTTTATAATTATATATCACAAATTCAGAAAGAATAGATGATTTTGTATTTATTTTTTTTATTATTATTATAATTTTTTTTTTTTTTTTTTTTTTTTTGATATAATTAATCAATAAGTTTTGAATCGATGAATGTTAAATAATCGATTAAATAACAATAAATCTAATAAATTTGTATAAAGCAACTGAACTTAATTTGCGACAGTAGCGGTAGTAATGAAGAATAAACTTTTATGAAAAGTTCGTATTTCCTTCAAATCTTGAATAAAACGTTTATAAAAAAGAAAATTTGAAGTCGATATAATTACGTATTTGATTTATTGAATAATTGATGTAATATAAACTTTATGGCATTTAATTTCTTATCTTAAGAAAAATTTTGTGTCGAGACAATTGAATGAATCCCTTGACCTATTAAATAATTAATTTCAAAATATACTCATAATTGAAATGTAAAAAAATTTGTTTCATTAAGACTAATTTCATGAGATTATCATCTCAAGTTGATATATAATTCATTATATGAATATTTCTATTATTATCAAAGTTAATTTATAATTTCTTTGTATGAATATTATTATTATTTTTACCGAAGCCATACAATATATATAAAATTTAACTTATTATGCATTATCCTATGCATAATTTGTACTCGTAAATAGAAAACGGTGCTCTTATTCATTTAAGTTTATCAAATATTAAAAACTGTAAAAATTTAGATATTATGTCACTGTTTAAATTTGAAAAAATTTTATAGACCGTGTTAGTAAAATATAAGAAGTATTTCGAAAAATGTGCTCGAGTTCTGCTTGCTTAAAAGAAAAATACCTTTATCAAGAAAGTTTAATTATCGTCCTCTATAAAAATATTCGTTGTCGTCTCATTTGGTTTTTAGAGTGAAGTAGAGCGAACAATTTTAATGGCAAATTATTTATTTGTGATCGTAAGGAATATTTTTATAAAAGTTTTATTCTATAATATCGATATATATATATATATATATATGATATTATTTACATAGTTATTTCTAAATCATCATAATTATCATAAACATTAAACGGAAGCAAAATTTCTCTATAGTATATTATGTGAACATAATAGAATATTAAAAGATATTCTATAAATTTTATTCATTTTCACTTTTATATAAGAATAAATATTTCCATTTCACTCCATTTCACTCAAAAGATCAAAAGGTTTTTATGTATGATTAAATTCTGATAAATTTAATAACGTAATTGCAACTTATGTTAATAAGCTTTTATTATATCTGAATACTGTGCTCGGATGTTGATATATTTTTTATGTAACGAAAAATTGAAAAAATATTGAATGTTATTTCACAAATATAGTCTTTGGTATTCGTTAATATCGAAAACAAAAATGAAATCGATATAACATACTTTTAAGATAATAGCTATAGCCAAAAAAATAAAAATCGTAATCAAAACATAAACATAAGAAAGACTTTTTTATGAAAACATAAAAAAATATAGAATTATATTTCCATATGAAGCATTTGTTTTTGAGAAATTTCGAAAACTACGTTTCCATCATTACCAAGTAAAAGGTCTCTTAATCCATACATGATATATAATAGAAAAGAAAGCACAAAGGAAACAAATTGAAAAAAAAATCATTGTATTAATAATTTCACGTTTAGTTAATTATTGCTTGAAACTTTAAATAACATTAAGTAATATAAAATGTAATACATTAAATGTTTTACTAATTTTTATGTAGTATTGGCTCAATTAATAATCTAGTAACTTAAACATCTATTAAGAGAAAAAGCTGTGAAACAATATTAATCAGTGTTATAAGAGAAAGTTTACTTATGCTAAACGACAACTGACGAAGCTACAAGAAGTGATAAAACTTCCCTCCTTTTTTTTTTTTTTTTTTTTTTTTTTGTTATATAAAATATATGAATTTATACAAGATTTTTGAGTATCTGATGTATGCCTCTTGTTACATAAACTGAATACAAATTGTAAGAAAGAGCAACATATGACTATCTTCCTGGAAAGCCAACCATTACGAAGGGTTGAGATCCTTGCTTTAACTTTTTTATTTTTTATAAATATGACTATTACTACTTTCGCACAAATCTTTCGTAAATGTTTTATTCCAATATATATATATATATATATATATATATATATATATATACATATATTCTTAAGATTTTAATAAGACAATAATGATGTAAATTTTTGTCAAAAGCATGTAATGTGAAATTAAATATATAGATGTTAAATAATGAAACTTTTTCTAATATTTCTAATATTTAATGACGTTATAGATTTAAAATTTTTTCATGAAAAATGTAAAAAAAAAACTTTCATAAATAACATCTTAATTATACAATTGTTACGAAGACTTAATAATATTACTTCAGTTTACAATATTGTCTATCTAACGAAATAAATCAATCAAAAATATAAACTAAAGTTGCAATAAAAGTATCGTGTTACGTGTTTTGGAAATATTTTTTATTATTTATTTTGCAGAATAAAAATTATCAAATATTTAAATGCCACAATTTTATTAAAAATATGTAATTATATACATCAAAAATACTATTATATATACTGTTTAATCAAAATAATTTTCGCTATTTCAGAAAAAGGTATATATGAGTCATACATATGTTCATGTTAACTATACAAATAAATAAAATAATGAAATACGGGAACAAGCTGATATGCATATAAGAATTTTGACGTTTTAGAGCTAAATATTATATAAGAACATATTCGTCGTCATGCATAAATCATATTTATATACGACTAAGAAAATAAAAGTGGTATGATGTAAAAGAGAAAAAAAGTTTAATAAATCACATCGTATATATGATTGTGTTATATAATATAAGTTCTGACATAAAGAAAAAAAAAATTAAATCGATGGCAGCCTTGTACATTTAAACTTTTATTTGTATGCGTGTTTAATAATTACCTACATGAAATAGCTGTGCACGTATAAGCAAATTTACTTTTGTCTTGTATTCGATTATGTTAAATATTGTTAAAGTTCAAATTTTAGCTAATTACATATAAGGACCTGAAAGTTTATATAAAATTATTTTCAGAATCTCTAATTTTTTCAATTGAATTAATACTAAATACCATTCATTCAAATACGTTTACAACATTAATATTATTTTAAAAATTACGACATTTTTAAGGAACGAAATTTTGTTGAATTTATTATTTACTTTAAAAGTCAAACATCTAGTCTTTGATCTTGTATTTGATCTAATTTAGTATACATAGTTACTTATATCTGTATAATGTATTAAATTTTTATAAAATCTTTATGATTGCGAAAATTGCAATAAAAACTTAAAAACTTTTATTCAAATTCGTCTGAATTATATTTTTAACCGAAGATATTTAAGAAAACAAAGTCAGTTTTCAAGTAAATCTAATTGAATATTTAAAATTAATGACTTTGAATAATTTGATCGAATATAGCTTAAGTTTCATTTAAAAGTTAAAAATACCACAATTATTATATCATGTATTGAGATGAACGTATTAGCAATTTTAAAACTCTTCAAATAATAAAGTTAAACTTATTAATTAGAAGGTATTTTATAAATAAATTAAATAACTATTACATTTCTCAATTAATTTTAGCGCAATTAATTTGAAATGTATTAATTAATACGTTTTATTGGTATATTAATATTATCAATAGATAATCGTAAATTATTTGTGTATTGTGTACAAAAATATTAATTTTTTAACCTATACGTTAAAGTTTACTTATCATTTATATCGTTTATAATATACATCTTAATAACTAAAAATGTGCAACATCAATTTTTATATAACAATTTGTATATATATATAGTAAAATAGTAATAATTTATGTTGTTACGCAAGCAGAGTGACGTAAATAAAATCTCGATGGAAATAAATACAAAATAATAAAATCATATTAAATAAATAATATATAAAATTATTATTCACTTTTATTCATGAATATTATTACTTAAACAATTATTCTTGAAATGAACAGATTTTCCAACATTTATAGTTGGAATATCAGAGAGCGATTTAAAAACTAATTTCGCCATTATATCACTTTCCTCGTTATTAGCAAGCAAGCCTAGCCTTTTCCATCAAAATACCTCGGGGAAGCATAAAATTGATTATCGATTACGACATTTACTATTTGACGAGTTTCACATACATATTTACAGATAAAAATATTATTGTTTGATGCTACTCTATTACGCGTATTTATATAATGGATAGTACATGGTCCTTACATAGTAATATGCCTATGCGTAACTATCATTATGTGTACACTCATACATACTCGCACACCATGCGAATGAGAAATATCCATTTACAGTAAGCATACACAAGTGAATAAACATATGCATGTAAATAATCACACTTGCGCACACCTATAGAGAAAAAGAAAGTCCGTGAATAAATAGGA